GGGGGGGGGGGGCACAGTCCAGCAGCTGGGGGTGTTTGGCTCGGGGAGGCGAGAGTGAGGGAGGACTCAGTTGCTGTTACGTTTCTTAAATGGGGGCTGGCGAGCTCCAGGGACGGGGCGGGGGGCAGGCGGCCGTGGAGTTGCCCCTGGCCCAGGCTCGGTGGGGCGGAGGCTCCCGTGTACCCCAGTCCTGGCATTTCCTCCCCTCTCCCCCTTTCCTCCCACCCACCACGCTCTCCAGAATGGAGCTCAGCCACACTTTGAAATCAAAATGCATGAATGAAATACAAGGGCTGAGGCCCATGGAGCCTGTCTGAGGCCGGGAAAGTCCCAGCCAAGGTGTTGAGTAACCCGCTCTTCAAACGGGGCGAAATCGAGGCTGAAGCAGCAGCTCCTGGCTTTTCCCTCCAGGGCTCATTAGCTCCCACAGGAAGCGGGGCCCTGCCCTAGCTCCTGATACCTGCAGGCAGCCCACATCCGACGCCCTGTGGCTCACCCAGACCTCAGCCTGGTGGAAAGTTTCACCTTGAGGGAGGAGAGTTTCCATGCCTCCTTCCAGCCCCTGAAGGAGTCCACTGCGGCAAACATCCGGGCATGTCCAGGGGACAACTGTGTGCTGCCCAGGGCCAGCAACGGCTGGGCTCCTCTTCCTCCCGGCACACACCATGGGGGGGGGGTGCTTTGGCACACAGTGTTGGGGCTCCTAGTGACCCCGATGCCCTGCCCAACACTGGCCTCCACACGCTGTGTCCCTGTGCCCTGGACCTCCAGCCCCCTCCATGCACCAGCAGGCACAGATGGCTGGAGTGTGGTGGCAGCCCGAGAGGCGGACATTTGTCACCATCTGTGGTCTTTAATCCTGCCCAGAGGGTGGGTAATGCTGTTCTCACTTCACAGATGAGGAAACCTGAGGCTCAGGAAGGTTTGGCAACATGTCAAAGGCAACCAGCTGGGGATGGTGTGTCAGGTACAGAGCCCAGGTCTGTCTATGCCACTGTGAGATGTTTTCCTGGCATGTTTGGATCTGATTTTTCTGTTTACTTCTCCATTGATACGTTGTGGGGGTTAGAGGTCGACAGAAATGCCACCCTTGGCCCGTTTTCTCTCCCTTCTGTTCCTCTGTGTCCGATCGCGTGGGGCAGGGGGTGGGGCTGGAGGCTGTCCCTGTCCTCACCTGAGACATGCTCAGGAGGCTCCCTCAGAGCCCCCTTGGGCATGTGCCCCCACCTTTTAGCCTTTTACCCCAACTCTTTCAGGAACAGGAATGGGGACTGATCTGGCTGAGACGCCCTGCGCTGGGATGGGAGGCCCCCTGGCATGTGGTGGCCTCGGCAGTGTCCCTCTGAGGCTCTTGGGGTAGGCTGGAGGGGCGGGTGACTCAGACGGCAAACTCCCTAAGCTGTTCCGTTTGACTCCCCACATAAGTGGGGGCTTTTTTCTGGAAGGAGGTTTAACTTAATTGACTTAATTCCATCCTACTCTCTGAGAACACCCTGAAGTTGAAGGGCCCCCACGGTGAGGAAGCCGCCAAGGGGAGGAGATGCTGAGCCACGTGGGCCGGCTGCTCTGACAGGTGCCGGCGTGAGGTGCCTTGTGAACCATAAAGGGGTCGTCACCGTCATTACTTTCTCCCCAGCACCTCTGGGGCAAGGCCTTAGAGACACGAGGTGAAAACGGGTCACCAGTGGTCCTGCCCTGGGCTCTCCTTTAGGGTCCCTGAGGCCTCCTCTCTGACTCCCCTTCCCCACAGACCCCTCCTGCCCCTCCCAGAGCCATCACTCACAGTGGTTCTCGGCCTGTCCGGCAAGAAGGCCCAGGGGCCTCTTCGGAGACTCCCCATCCTCAAGGTGGAAGGTGTCCGCCTCCCACTGCCCAGAGGCCTTGAAGAAGCCGGTACAGACACCGTAGGCACAGCACTGGTAGGCATAGGGCACCTCCAGGATCCTGGGGGCGAGCGAGGGACACAGCTGCCTCAGAAATGGGGTTCTCAACCCAGGCACCCGGCACCCAGTGAGTGCCCTTGGACCCCAAAGTATCTGGATTCCTGTGCAGGCAGCCTCCTGGCTCTCTGGGTGAGGGTCTGCAGCCTGGCTCCCAGGGAGACAGACTTCCCACCCTCAGCAGGCTCAGAGTGGGGAGCAGCTCACCCAAGGCCACACAGCACTCGGGTGCTCTGGTTGCCTCCCAGCCAGCACCTACCTCTTCCCTCATATGTAAGGGGACAGGGTCCTCCTAGTGATCTCTACCCTTGCCCTGGAGGAGAGCCACACCCTGTCGCTTCCCACCCCAGGGCACATCAGAGCTGGAGGTGGTGCCCTTTGAGGGGAGGGCAGGTGCCCTTTGAGAGAGGGCAGGTGTCCCAGGCATGTCATTAGCTGGCAGCCAGGAGAGTCGGGCCACTCAGGCTGCATACGGCACACGGAGGCCTGGCTGCCGTTAGCGCCAGGCCTGGGGTGCAGCTGGTTCGCTGCCCATCGGTGCCCCGAGCTCTGCCCTGGTTCCAGGGGCCCAGATGCCGCCCAAGTTAGGACAGGCAGTGAGGGTGCAGAGTGAGACGCAGGACGCAGAGGTGGAGGGGCCTCCCACCACCCTCTTTCCTCACAGGAGCCTGTGTCCCCTGGGCTGGGACAGGGACAGATAAATGCTGGAGGAGGGACAGGAAGGGGAGGCAGGAAGGGAGGCTTGAGCCCTCCCCTCAGTCTCAGCCACCAGGCTTTTCCTGTGGCTTCCTCCTGTTCCCTCCAAGGCCTCTCCACTGCCCTGGGGCAAACTTCTTTGGTTATAGGGAAAAGCCAGGCCCTCACCTCAGTTTTGGGAAACTGTCCTTGGAGAAGGCCTGAGACAGAGCCGGGTTCCCTTTGAGCTTGAGATGCATTAGGCCCCCAAGTCCGGCCAGGGGCAGGGTGGTCAGCTGGTTGTCTGTCAGGTCCCTAGGACAGTGGATGGTCAGGGTTATTGGCAGTTGTGGGACTGTGGGGGACAGGGTCCAGCTGAGGGTGTGGCCAGTGCACCTGGGACGGTGCCAGAGGACAGCAGCAAAGGACAGAGGATCACGGGGCAGGAGGTCAGCACTAAGTGCTGGGGGCGGGTGGCCACTAGAGGCACAGGCCGTAAGTCATCCACTCACTCACTCGTCTGCACACTCATTCACTCACTCACTCACTAATCAAATATTCGGTGCTGACTATCCACCAGGGACTGTCCCAGTTCAGGGGTGACAGAGACCCTCAACCACAGCTCCTGTGCCAGGTCTGAGTCCCATCTAGAAGGCCCTGCCCCCCACTGGGGCATCTGCTGTCATCCCGTCACCCCCCCCACCCCCCATTGCCCTGCTTTTCTGAGAGCCCAGAGCTGGGACTGGACGGAGCAGGCCACTGGCTGCACACGGGGACTCGGTCATCCATTCCCATCTGCAGCCAGAGGGGAGGCCATCATGGCTGTCTCCCGGAGACACAGAGAAAGCAGGGCTCCACACCAAACACAGTGACCACAGACCATGCGTCGTGGAAACAGCCTGGCCTGGCAGGCAGGAAGGCTGCCACCACATGTCTGCCTGTCTCAGTGCCCTCATCTTTCAAAGGGATAGGAAATACCACCCTAGCTGTCTAGAGAGCAGAGGAACAGAGAGGGGAGACGGAGGAAGGAGAGAGCGGCCCCGGGTCCCGAGAGAGAGGACTGGATGGGGCTGTGGGCACCTGGCATGCCCCTGACCCCGTGAAGTGAGGGGTAGCACTGGAGGACCCCTGAGGCCGGAGCTGGTGCCAGCCCATAAGGGGTCTCAGTGTAAGTCAGAAAAGGGCCCCATGGGGGGGGGGTGCCTTTGGGACACCAGGCAGGGAGGCAGAGGTCCTTTCAGCTCTGACACCATGGCCACGGGGCCAGTGTAACATGCTACCTGTTTATGTCCTACGTTAATTCAGAGGCCCTGTGGNCTCCCCCTGTGCCGAGAAACCTCGCCACAGTGTGACAGCCGGCAGAGGTCCTTTCAGCTCTGACACCATGGCCACGGGGCCAGTGTAACATGCTACCTGTTTATGTCCTACGTTAATTCAGAGGCCCTGTGGTCCCCCACTGCCGGCAGAATGGCAGCCTCTAGAGTAATGCCCATGCAGGGGACAGCTGCCCCATCTGCCACAACCTTCCTGGCCTCAAAGGGGGTCCAGGCCATACATGTAGGGGTGGGGCAGGGTGGGGCAGAGGCTCAGGAGGCTCAGGTGGCCCTGCAGGAGGCCAGGAGGCCAGAATGCTGCAGAGCATCCACAGATGCCCTCCCAGAGCCTGCAAGCTCCCTGTTTATCAGGCCCCGTGGTCTGTCAAAGGGACTGTCTGTCACAGTGATTGATGAGGCTAGAGCCGTGCCCGGGGATGTGTGGTCAGACATCTACGCAGGTCCCCGCTCGGGGGTGGGCCCTGCTGTCCCCACTGGTCTGCAGCACCCAGGACAGGAGCACAGTGGCACTTACAGCTTGACCAGGGAGCGCAGGGTGGCGAAGGCCTCAGGGTGAATGGACCGGATGGCGTTCCAGCTCAGGTCCCTACGGGCAGTGAGAAAGTGACAGGAGGGGACAGTGACACATGGAAGACTCCTGGCTCTCTTGCACTTACCCCTGGTCTGAGCTGCCCCCTGTAGGGGAAGGGACCTTTAGACTGGCTCCCAACCTGCCTATGGCCCCAGGAAAAGGGATGTGGCTTCAGAGCTTCATGGACGCTTGGGTACCCGATGGAGATGCGGCTGAGACACTGTCTGGATGGGGAGATACCTTCCCTCCTGTGTGTGTGCCATTGGCAGGGATGCAGAGCATGAGGCTGTGTGCATGTCAGTGTCCACAGGGTGATGGCTCTGAGACCCCCCCAGCATCCCCCTAATCTGTGGATACTCACAGGGCCCGTAGGGAGCTCAGCTGGCTGAAGGTGTCGGCTCTGACTTCCCAAATGCGGTTGTGCTGGAGGCCGCTAGGGCAGCAAGACAGGCTGGGTGACTGGTGGGCTCAGGCCCTGGCTCCACTCCACGCCTCCCGCCCCGACCTTCCCGTGCACTGGGCAGGAGAAAGAAGAGCCTCTACTTCTCCTGGGGCGGAAAGAGAGGGCCCAGCCCGCGGAAGTCACTGACATTAAAGGGATCTGGTTGTCTTGGGAAGTGGGTCAGGAGACAATGCCGCAGCACTGTCCCTGTGGCCCAAAAGGGAGTCAGTTTCCAGGGTTCCCACCGGGCCTGGCTCCTCGCCCAGCTGACCTTGCCCCATGGGTCCTCCAGACCCTGGTCCAGCACCAGAGCACCACCAGCCCTTGGACGGCAGTGACTCGCCCCAGCTGGGGAGCATAGTTCAGAGGACTGGCTGTCTAAACAGGAGGGACTCAGGGCCTTGGCACTTAAGACCCTCCTTCCTTGGGCACCTAGACAAATGTGACAGACCCTGACCCCTCTGCCCAGGCTCCAAAAGGCATCGATCACCCTGCTGAGAAGTGAGGACAGACACAGGAGACACGGGAGGCTCAGGAGGCTCAGGAGGCCCTGCTGGCAGGAGACAGCAGGGCTGGACGAAGGCAGCTTAGAGAACCTTCAATGTGACTTTCTCCCCTGTCAAGTTGGAGCCCCAGGTCTCCTCCTGTGTGTGAGTGTGTGTGAGTGTGCACAGGCACGTGTACACACACGTGAGGGTGCACGGTGCACGTGTGCACATGTGAGTGTTGGTGGGGCTGTGGGAGATGACAGGCTGCTCTCAAAGGCAGGCTCTTCTGGTCCCCTGACACTGCCCCTGCCCAGCCCACCTGCCCAATGTGGCCCTGGTCTCCGCTGGCCCTTATTACCACCACATTGCTGTGCTGCCCTTGACCCTCCAAGGAGCCACCTTGACACTCCTCTGGGCACCGGCTTCTGGGTCTGTCACCTGCTGTCCAGGCCTCTGCCCAGCTGCCAGCCCTCACCTCTGGGCCCCACGCCCTCAGCGGAGGTTAGCGTGCAGAGCCCTCCCCGCAGACCTGCCCAGAGTCGGCTCCCATGCCTTTGTCTCCCCGACCCCACTCACATCTCCTCCAGCTTCTGACACCTATGCAGGCTGGGCAGCTCCTCGATTCGGTTGTGAGACAGTTCCCTGGGGAGAAAAGGCCGGGGCCAAGGTGAAGTAGGGCTGGGGAAGCCGCCCTGGCCAGGGCCCTGCTTCCCTGCCAGGAAGCCGATGCTGGGAGGACCCTGTGGGCACGTGGCTGCTGACACAGGTCACATCAGGGCATCGTCCTCAACCAGACTCATCTGCATCCCTTGCTGAGCCCCATTTTTCCCAGCAGGGCCTGGACAGGCTGACTTGCATTGTTCCCGCGGGGCTGCCTCACCCATAGAAAGCCTGGGGGACCCGGAGAATTGGGGGGGAGGGGAATAGGAAGTGAGAGGGGTGTGGAGGCGAGGAGAGAGGCAGACTGAGGGCATGAGGCAGGGCTGCAGGGAGTGTGTGAGCCACTCACAGGACTCGGAGCCTGGGCAGCTGCTGGCACATCGCGGGCGGGAGCAGCCGGATGCCGGCACGGGTCAGGGTCCTGTGGGGGGGACAGGGAGAGGGAGTAGGTAGACAAAATAGATGGTGGAGCCCTGGGGATGGAGCACCAGTCTGCCCCCCACCCTGGCGAGAGGACCACTCACAGGGTCTCCAGGCTCGTGGTGCCTTTGAGGTCTGGGAACTCCTGGATGTCCATAGCTCCATTCAGGGACCTGGAGGCAGAGCCAACAGCTCTGAGGATGGGGCCAAAGCACGTACACCTCAGCTCCCAGCCCTCAAGGCTCTACCCACAGAGACTTCCCCCTGGGAAATGTCATCCTGCCCCAACACTCCACAATCAGCCCCGCTCCCGGCCCTGGTGGAGGCTGGGCTTTGCTTAGCGGGGTCCAAGCAGCCACGAAGCCCAGACAGGGCCCAGCAATCTCGACATCTGGGTGCCAGCATGCAAAACACAGGCCAGGGGCATGGGAGGTGCCTGTTTATGAGATGACAGCTTGGGGGCTCCTGAGAAAGCCCTGGGCTGCTGGGTTTGCTCAGAGCCTGAGACCCGTCTCCCCGAAACGGCCATTTCCTGGGGCTTCATCAGAGCCTCTGCAGTACATCTCTTCCCCAAACTGCTTCAGATTGGGGGCTTTTCCCTCCCCTGAGGAGGGAGGTTGTTAAGTGCACCAGGTCTGAGAAGAGACCTGAGCTGAGAGGAGGCCTGCAGCTTGGGGTTCATGCCTCTGGGGGGCTGTGCCTGGCAGGTGGGGGTGCGGGAGGTCAGGGGCAGCAAGGGCCAAGGACAGGGAGCCTTCAGGTGCCCACGTACAGCGTGTGCAGCTTTGGCAGGTACTGGAACGCCGACCTCCCCACGGACTGGATCGGGTTGTCATAAAAGTGTCTGGAAAAGACCCAGACACTGAGTTCAGCGATTTGGAGCTTTCCGCTGGGACCACAGCAGATCTATGCTCTCTTCACCCCATGGGGCCCAGGGGAGAGCACCAGGGGCAGGCACCCTCCCATCGCCCTGCCTCCCCGGCTGGCCCACCCTCCCCGAGAAGCCAGGACTCACATGGTCTGCAGCAGAGGGTTCCCCATGAAGGCCTTCTCTGGGATGGCCCTGATGTTGTTGTTGTGGAAACCCCTGGAAGAGAGCCGGGGTCAGCCAGGACTCGAAGACGGGTGCGTTTCCTCAGAGACACAGGGGATTCCTGGAGCTTTCGGACAGCGGGTGAGAAAGGCCAGAGCACCGAAGGGACACCAGGCGGGAGGCCCCAGGTTCAACCCTGCCTGTGTCTTCTCTTCATTCGACATCACACCTGGCCGTTTCCCTGACACGTATGACAGGTGTGGGGGGTGGGGCCTGAGGAAGCCCTAGAGCAACTCAGCTCCCGGAGGGGCTCCTCCATCCCTGTCACTCGTGGGGCCCTGGAGGGTCCCCGAGGAGGAAGCTGGGAAACAACAGAGCTTCCGGGGGGCCTGGGCCGAAGGGGGAGCCCCGGATGGACGCTGGCTTGGCCTCAAGGCCCCGGAACTAAGGAACAGAGAAGCGGGGGGTCGGGTGCTGACGGACTGAATGACACGGGGAAATGAGGACTGCGGGTATGTGGTTAGCTGGGGAGCACCTCCCAAAATAAATGCTGGGCCAAACAGCGCGTAACCTACACGGAGCAGGCCCACCCGCCCTCCTTGTCTCCACGGCGATTCTGGCTTCTCCGTGTCTCCCTGGCCTCCTCACTGCCTCTCCACGCCCCCGCTGTCCCCACCATGCCCTTCCGATCAATGGAAGTTCACCCTTCTTTTAATTCCCGGCTCAAAGGGAAAGTCAGACCTCACGACTCACGGGAGAGGGAGGGTCTCCAGAAGTCCCCTCAGCCCCATCCCTCCAGCTGGCCCGGCCTTCACACCTGCCAACTCCCCGACAGGCGGAGGGGTGGCCTGAAGGGGCCACTACGGCCTAGGGGGTGTCTGAGCAAAGGTGCTGCCTGCAGTTCAGGGCTCTGCTCATAAACCTCGGGTCCCCGTAGGCTGGTCACGCTCGTCCCTGCTGGGCCACCTCTGTGCCCGCTCAGCTTCCCATCTGTTCTCCTGTCTGAAACGTCCCTGCCCTCGGAGGACAGGACAAGGAGGCAGAGGCACTCACAGCTCCTGCAGCCGGCCCAGGGTCCGGATGGCCAGGGGGAACTCCTGCAGGTCATTGTGGTTCAGGTCCCTGGAAGGGAAGCGGAGGCGTCCTCAGGGGTGGCCAGGGGGCAGGCCAGGACTGAGCCACAGGAGCTTGGCTCCGGGGAGGTGGGGCTGGAGAGACGCTGGGACCAGCTGTCGATGCTGGGAGACGCGGAGACGATAGGCTAGGAGAGCTGAGGGTGAGCACAGGGACGGACGCTTCTCGGTCTCAGATTATGGAAAGGACACACCGTCTCCTGTCACTGTCACTGTCTCTGACAGAAGTGTCCCCATGGCCGTGGCTCAGCCCACACAGGAGCTCTCTGCTGCAGCCCAAGCACAGCTAGATGTCCCGTAAGGAGGATTTGGGCATCTTTACTCAGAACCAACATCGAATTATTATCTTAAGTGTGAGGACTTGCACTGGCTGGGCCTCGGGGCTTCTGCTCACGGCCCCTCGTGCCCAGGACACTGCAGGCTCTCGCAGGGCTTATCCCTCCCCCGATGGCTCCATCTGAAACAGCAAAGCCTGTCATCCCTGCCCCCCACCCTGTGTCGTCGATCCCAAGTGGCCACAATCTGATTATGTGAAATCGACACACGGAACACCTTCGGCTTACACAATCTGTCAGTCATATCTCAACAAATCCGGGATGGAAATACCCAGTTTTGGGCCACGTCTCCTACCACGAGATGACCTGGACCTCCCTGCGCTGGCCTTGTGACTGGCCCATAGAACAAGGCGTGAGTGACACGGTGGGACCTGGTCCTAAATCACAAGTGGTCCTGCAGCCTCCACCTCTTCTGGGAGTGGTCCCCCCGCCATGGGAGGAAGTCAGCCAGCCTCCTGACGATGGAGCCACATGGGGAGAGGGGCCCAGCCAACCAGGCACGAAGGCCGGGATATGGAGGGAGCCCCACAGGCCCCTCCGGCCCTCGCAGAGCCCCCACTGACTGCAGCTTCAGAACACGCTCACTCATGGGAACCTGACCAGCCCATGGAGTCAAGGGCGATTATAAACTGGTGTAAACCACTAAGTTTGGGGGTGACCTGCTATGATGTCACAGATTGCGAGGTCCCCCGCTTCCTTTCTCCCTGTGGGTCATAGTCACATCTGATATGTGTTTGTCTATTTTCTTTCCACCCAACAGGAATGAAAGTTCCTTGAAATTAGGGACTTTGTCTGTTTCATATTTTAGAGACCAAAACAGCCCCAGCACAGAGCTGAGCTCAGCAAATACTCGTTAAAAGAATAAATGAAGAAGTCTAGATAGTGATTAATGAGAAACATTAATGGATTCTTAAGGAACAGAGGATATTTTGGGGAACATCCTTAAGATTTTGAGGTTGATGTTAAAAAAAAAAAAAAGCACAAGACCATTCTGAGGGGCACTGTCAGGCTCGCCCCGGGCCACAGGGGCCACGGAAGTGTCCCCAGGACTCTGCCGTGCCGACCCTCGCACGGTTCATCAGACCCTGTCCCGGCAGCCACGCCGAGTGGTTCCAGACTTCCTTGGCAGTTTCTGGTCAGGAATGTTGCCAGGAACGGCACAGCAGACAGTGGGAAAAGGCACATGGCAAAAGGCATGTGAATGAAAAGGCTATTTTTGTAGAAAAACGTGGGAAAATAAACTGCAAAAGTCAAAAAAAAAAAAAAAAAAAAAAAT